TTGCATGGAGAATGGGTAGGAAATACATAAACCAACGCAGGGTTTAATCGTGTGATTTGAACCGATATTCTTGTGATAAAACTACAGCCAGTAATCTATGACTCTGTAGAGTAGGCATTCAATTCTCGCTACATGTCTATCATTTTGATTATGAATTCATTGACCGACCGATTCATTAGGAATATCATAACAATTGGTATAAAACGTGTCAAACTATTCTGTCAACTATTGTGTGAACTGTATTCACCAGGTTAGGATTAGATGTTATTATCCCCGATTAGTACATCAAATAAAGCTCACAATTGTATACTCGACACAAGTCTAACATATTTTATACCAAGTGTTGCGACATTTCCAATGAATCATACTATCAATTAAATGACAATCAAATGATTGGTATTGAAAACTGAAATACAAACCAAAGAACCATAGATCTACTGAAAAGCTGTGAGACTTACTACTATTACGTTGACTGCTGTCCCTATACGTGCCGTTAATGATCGCCAGTTCCATGAGCTGCCGTTTCTTAAGCTCGTCCTCACCGTCAGTCTAATAAGTTTACAAAAAAACAAAACAATTAAACAAATACTCAGAACACAAATCAATTCAAATGCTTACAATCGGTATCAGGAGTTTCTTAATCTCGTCGATCGCTCTCTGGATCTTAACGCTGGCCCTATTGTTGGAGTCCTCGACGGTGATGAGCACATGGAGCTTGTCGTTCAGGTGCTCCCAATTAGGTTTGCCTCGGTTCGCCTCTTCCTGAATGTCGTAAAACATTTGCACAAAATTTTAGTTTCACTTTAAAACAGATTATGCACCGAAAGAATCAAATCGTAAAAAACTAATGTTTTCTTTTGAGTTAATAATCGTTTTGTGAGTCAAGAGAGAGACCATTAAGAAAAAGAGAGACAAAAATGAGTTAAGACTTACAGTAATTGCAAGAAAAGTAGTCATTAAATGGAGATATTATTCCGCATTAATAGAGTAAGCATTGGTATAAATAATGAAAACATATTTAAATATAATGTTTAAAATATTCAGTGAGTCATCGGAATTGGAAATAAACAGTATTATTATATACCGGGGTAATAAGTATATTAAAATATTTTATAATTAAGTCATTGAATAATTTCAATTAACCAAACAGACAGACAATGGGTAGCCATAAATTCAGTGAACACAATGGGCATCAAAAAACATGTCAAACCTTTTTCTTATCCCTCATTGAACCCCTTCCGCGAACCATTATCTTACAGCCCGTCTCCTGTTCCAACTGTTTGGCTGTCATACCTCTGGGGCCCAGTATTCTGCCCACAAAATTATACTACAAAATACAAACACATATTAATTAATTTTAATTAAAAACACACGATAACAATCAGCCAAAGGATTCCCATTATGACACAGGAACTGGCGGCTCACCTCTGGGTGCTCATCAACCGGCACGTAGACTTTCTCCTGACGGGAAACGGCCGGCCCGTCAGCCTCGGGAAGGGCTAACGGCTTCTTCTCGACGCCATTGATTTGAAATAAGTTTTGCCTCACTTTATTGATCTCTGCAACAAAAAAAAGTCATAAATATATTAATTTCAGCGCAAAATGCCATAAATATGAGAGATATAAATAAGTGAACAGAGAATTAACATTAAATAAATCACAAATAAAAATCTACACCAGAGTTAAGCCATAAATAAAAAATGCATTTTTTTCGGAGAGAAAATAGTTATTCAGTTCAACACAACATCGAGAAAAATATATGTATTTTTGAAAAATAGTTTTCTTGCACAAAATATACACTGTATTTCAATTATAGAGTCAAATGTATAGTAAATCATAGCGTAGTCTCATTGAAAATAACTTATATTTATATTTAAATATAAACTTTTCAAAAACGTTAAGAATTTCAAGAAAAACAAATTATTTTTCAAATTATAAAATAAAAATTATTAAAAATCTTCAAAACCCTCTATTATAATAGAAATGCTCACAATTCTGTTGTCTAAATAATCAATGCAAACAATGACTATTAGTTTATTATAAGCACAACAAATTCACTTCATTATAATAGAGTGAATACAATACTGTATTTTTGAAAAATTAAAACTAGTTTTCAAAATACATTCACGGAGTAGAGAATTATGTGAGAAATAATAGAAACACTGAACAGAGTATACAACAAAACAATACTGTTATACAAATAGACATTGAAAAATATAAAAATCATTTCCTATTCACACATTTGACACGAAGAGAGAGAATATTAATTGAATTATTCATCGATTTGAATATTTTTGTTGACAAAAGTGGTGGCGAATTACGTGAACCACGATTTGCATTATAACTCACCATTAAATTAAGGCAATGATTGAGAAATTATGTATACATTGTATGAATGAAATCATGAGTGACTGACAGGACTAGAGGTACAGAAGATAATCGGTGAAGTGGTCACTGGTTTGTATATCAATCACTTCAACCAAAAGTGTCAACTCAAATAGGAAGTAATGGCAAATACCTTAAATATAAAACTAATTCTTATGAATATACTTGTACTTGGACATATTAAAATACTTCCAAACTCAATTTAAGATGATAACCTTAATAAACAAAATGCTAAATAAATTTAAAAATTAAATAAAATAATTTGAAATCATTGTCATTACAAATACCGAGAAATTTAATTAAATATAGGATTAAACAAAAAAATTAAAATCCAAACAAAACTGTAGACCACATGTCAAATATAGTAACTTTAATAAAAACAATTTAAACTATTTACCTTATCTATCATAATCACAATTGTGAGCATTTGGTTATAATGAACAAACGCAAGGGCCTAACACTAACTATAGTTCACTGTATGCCTGTCCACCACATTGATAGCCGTGAATTTACTGGCACGGGAAGGATAGGCTCATATCAAACACACAATTATTTATATACCGTTCACATCATAAAGCAATTTAAACAAAGTGTTGATTAGGTTTTTTGTTATCATAAGGAAAGGTAACACAAATACAAAAAGAGTTGTATGGAGTGGGGAATGGTATGCCAGATGGGGGGCAGGAGGGGGACGGCAATCGCAATCATGTCACTCATAGCGAAAACATTTGGCAAACGCTAAAAGTAATCCACTTTTTTCCGCCGTAACCGTAGCGCATACATCGCCTACAAGTGCTTTATGTCAACACAGATTTGTCTGCAAATACGACAAACAATAAGTGTTTCTAACAATAATGATAAGGAAACTCATTATTACATTATAGCGACTAATAATAAAACATTGAAAATATTATACATAACATCTAATACCCGCCGATATTACATATAATTATCAATTCACAATTACATAGATTTCAATACTAACTACAAGTGCTCTCAAAAAAACCATACAATATGTTGCTATCGAGTGATATGAATGGCTCTCTACTACTTTAATCCCAATGGCTTCGGCACCGGTAGGCGATAGAAGGGAGCCGTCAATCAAATGGATTTTTATGTACTTTAGATAAATCATTTCATATCTTATATTTGTATTAAAAACAACATTAATAACCGTTTGTTAAGTCGGTTTCTAATCACAGTTTCCATTCATTCGCTCCCTTTTGTACAAATAGCGAGTCTTAATGCAGTTATAATACAAATCATATTATTTTTATATTTAAGAATTACATAACACTTAAAAGCAAATAAAAATCAGAGAGAGAGAGAGAGAGAGAGAGCTAACTTTTTTTATATGTATGTAATCGACATTATAATAGATTATGAATTCAATTATGCTTTTAATGAGTGAATACTGATATGAAATACAAACAAATTAAGAGCTTTTAGTTTCTATTGAATATTAAATTGTATGAAAAAACTCAAATATTGTGTGCAAAACCAATATTAATAGTTAACAACTTTTTATATATGCGATAAAAAAACTTTTATGCTCGGCCTTTACTTAATTAACAATAAAACTGTGAATAAAATGACAATAAAAATACATCTAATAATCATAAAAACACATAAAAACTGAAACATTTGAATTGTTATAATTTAACAAAAACTATATTTAAATCAATAACAAGAAACAGTTTGCAAACTACAAATCCACGAGAAAATCCTTATTTAACACATTAGAGACCATTTGCTTGGAGTGGCTGACAATGAGGCACTGGAGCGAAGGAAAACACATTTCACTCGTAAATAAACCTCTTATAAAACTATTAGAAAAAATTATAATTTAAAGCAAACCGCAAACAAATTGCTAGCTAAGTGTTGAGGCACTGGTAGATTGGGGAGTGGGTGTGTCAGCGAATTGGCTTAATTGGCGTTCAGATTGCATTAGACCAGAAAACAATGACATTAGTCTATGAGATGCCTCAACAACTACCACCGCAAACAGCCATTCCCTCAGCGAATACATGCTTCGCACAATGCATTCAACAGTTGTGTGCGATTCGCACCCAACCCTACCATAAACTCCACGGAATTGCTAATAAATTACAACTAAATTGTTATACATTTATGAGAAATCATTTGAAAGTGTTTTTAATACACATATTGTATACAAAACGTGCGGCAAATACAAGTGACAGACATTTCACTCTCAATCGCGTCAATGATTTCTCTCAACGGTTCGGCTATTTTGTGTGAGAAGTCGTGTTTCAAATGGCTTTACAAATAACACTTTTTATCTACATTTTCGCACTATATATGCAAAACATATTTAGATAATAAGATTTGCGAAAACAAAACCAAAAGACACAAATCAAATCAAATTAAATAATTAAGATTATGATCGCAAACCAAAACTAAACGTGTATTTCTGTAATTAATTGGGTTTTTCTAATCAAAAGGAAATTAACAAAAAATACATTTTCTCTCCAAATATAATCCAAACAGAATTTAAAGAGACTTTCCTTGAATTAAATGCAAAAAATCAAAAATATTTTCAAAAATATTTATCGAAAATTAAGTCCAAACGAAAAATATGCGCAAAAATATCTACAATCATAAGTAGAGTCGAGAGAAAAAGTGTGGAAATTAATGCAAAAATCATATATTAATCTAACTGTAGGTGACATACGAAGGATATCTTCTCGCAGGTAATGGCTACGAAACTATGCACTAGTGGAGCACCGGTAGGATTATTTTACTTTTGCATCATATATATAAGACTTTTATGCAATCAAATGAAACTTTTTCTCCACTACTCTATCAAACTAGACGCCAACGCATTCAGCGCTTATATTGTATATAAAAAAACTTTAATTTCAATAATAAAGTAATTTGTGTTATGTTTTCAAACGCTTTATGAGATAACAATTGCAAAGAAATAAATAAATATTTAGCGGAGAAAAAAGGTTCAAAACATTTAATCAACGCAATAGGCGACCGACAAAAGTCAGCTGAACTTTATTTGTTTAAATTTAAACACTAAAATACGTCCAAATGTACCCGGGATAGGACCTAACCGTTATTTGGCGCATGAATATTCATACAAACTAATCAATTTTGGGTTTTCGTGATTAGTTTCACCGAAATTAACACTTTTTGTGCACAGATTTCTATTGCATTTAAAACATAAGCGATAAATAAAAAACAAGAAATTATTTTTTATACTTAATCTCGAAATTAAGGAAAAGACGAGGAGTTGAATACATTGAGTGAATAGGGAATGGAAGGCGAGAGAGAGAGAGAGAGAGAGAGAGCACAGGGCATATATGGGGTGCAGAAATAGGCACATAAAATACAAATATATATAACATTTAGAATTATATAACTTATATAAAACTGGAAATCACTTCAAGGCATGTATTGTATAACAAGATCTCTCTCTCTCTCTCTCTCTTGGAGTCCACAAGATATCACATCCCTGTCTATCTGTGGGCGAGTTGTGTGGTGTGTATTGCACTGACTATAGCATACAGAATAGGGAACAGGGATTTGAGTTCTCTGTATAAGTGTTTAGGTTTGGGTTGAGGTCACAAACTAGTGGATGACACGCCTCACCACTACATACATACACACAACACATCAGTTGGTGCCAAATGTTTGCAAATCATTGTTATTCATATCAATCAATAATTACCAATCAATTGGTAATCGCATTAATTGGTCGCATATGACATGAAATTCATATTTGCGTCAAAATAAGCTATAATTTCCACTTTTATTCACAGTTTTTGGCCTCATATGCAGTCTATGTACAGCACATATGACAGCATTTATGGACTTTTCTTATCACTAAATTTAAAAGACAACTGAATCTGATTACAAACTTATTTGCTATTTATTTACACACCACTAGACTAACACATCTGTCTTTTGTGGACAATCGATACAAAAAATAAAATAAAAAACATAAATATAATTGAAATCATAAATAATGATAAAATCCTTGATTTAATGGCTCTTCAGAGGCGAGAGAGAGAGAGAGAGAGAGAGAGAGAGAGAGAGAGAGAGAGAGAATGTTTAGAAAAAATGCATTAAAAAGTGGAGAAAAAATTTGATAAAAACAAAAACACATAAAATTTTCACTCAAACAAACAAACTGTGATTTTCAGGTAATTAATAAATAAATACTTTTCAAAACACAAATCAAATACACAAATGAGACAACAAATGGCAAAATCAGTGCCAAATTAGCTATCAATTCAGGGATTTACTCGTAAACTGATTTCAATACACGAAAGACATTATCGTTTAACGATAATCGCGGTCAACACACAGACACACCACACGAGACATAACCGTAAGACACGAGTCATTTAACCACTTAATGATCATTGGATTCAATAGACGACAGACATGCGAGACAAGCGATGGCGCGGATCAACACACATACAGCACTCCACATACCACTCGCAAAGACATCTAAACCATACGATAGGTCACACATACGATCATCAATACACACCTTCATCGAGGAGTCGCTCGATGTGGAGGAATACGTTGGGAAAGGCTGTCAACTGTTTCCTATCTTTGAGCAGTTGGGCCAAGTAGTCGGCGGTCGACTGCATCGACACGTTGTTGTTGGACGAGTTGGTCGTCGAAGAGTTGCTGTTCTCTCCCATTCCTCCGCTTCGCTCGCAATCCGTGTCCACAACCAACACCCGTCAGAGGCGGCGGTAGTCTTCAAGAGGTGGCGCACACCGATTGTGTGGTGCGGATCCGGTATGCGATCACTTCTGGCTCACAATCAGCTAAACCATCAATCGGTACATTAGTGGACATTAAATACGGCTATAATTACGAGTAAAATATGTCAAATCAAACCATACATTGCACTCCAAGTCTTAAGTAGATCTCAAGAGTGGACAGTCGTGTCTTCACGAAAACAATATACGACTCAAACGAATAGCACGACAAGAATGAGATGCAGTGGCGTGTCGTTCATATGTGTGTTGTGGTGATCACCAGATGATGGCCACAGTGGTGATAGTCATCGACATATGAATGGCTAGTATTGACCGCATATTTGCATCACTTGTGGTGTTTGCAGGCATACAGACAGTCAGTGTGTGTCTCACTCTCACAGTCTCTGCGATAGCACTGCACTCAACGCACGGCTTATAAGTTGAATGCAAAATGTTTTTGTTTTGCACCACAACTCACTCTAACATACAGGCGCTCACTGCCACTCACACACAGTGCTCGGCCCTCTACATCACACGTACACTCTACGCACCTACAGGTGCTGCACATACCTCTGTCCCATTACTCGCACATCACATACACCTGATCACCCACCGCACACCTGTGCCGTAATACTAGTGCTATATTAGTATACACCCGCTATAGTGAAGGGTCAGTACGTTGAGTGCATGCGGTGTTAACCATATACCGGATTTATACTGTACTCCCGTATAAACCGTTCAAAATAAACGTATAGCTCTCATATGGGACAGGGATGCAGTCGGGGGACTGGTATGCCATTGGGTTACTCACTGTGAGTATGCGATGGGATGCCTATGAGTGAGTGCATGAGTGCAGTCATGTGCGGATTGCTAAGCGTAAGGGCCGGTATGCGCTGCGTGTGTCGTACCGTTGCACTCCACTCAACCTAACCGTCCCATCCAGAGTAGGCATCCCCCGGCGCGCTCACAAACAACGTTACGCAGTGGTGGGCAGTGCGGGGGCGGACACACACACACTCACACATGTAATGCAAATCCTAAACCAATTTTTTAATTTACATAAATTAAACACTAAACGCACACATAATTCACAGCAGCTTTCAAAACATTTATTTTATAAATAAAAAATTAATTTCTCTTATTATTTATTCAATGAATATTTAAATGAAATGTTAAAAACAAAGTTAATTCAAAACATAAATTCATTCCCATTTTTCGACTACCATTCCCCTCCCTATCGACTGAACTGTCGCTTGTCTTTACTGATGGGAACCGCTCTGTAGATCACCGATTTGTGGGCCCTTTTCTGGCTCATGACGGGCGGCACATAACCGCTCCCTTTCCGGCCGCCACCGACGCCTCCTTTCCTATAGTTATGGGGTTTCGACGGATTCTTACCGCTCACCGCTTCGCACACCCATTGAAAAAACATATGTTTTCCACAATTAATATACATTTCAATCAATGGCTAATTAATAACAAAAAGTCTATCACTGAATACGTACGTAAGTCGACAAACGGGGGGACACTGAAGCCAAAACTCTTGGCCACCGACACCAGGTCCAGTCGGTTCACGTCGAAAATGTGTTTCAGAGAATGGGAGTCGTAGGCCCTCACGAACGCCTTGTAGGCCTCCTTCGCCGACAGGTTTAGGAAATAGTTTTTTGAAATCAACTTTTCGAGCTATCAATGAGACAAATGCCGCCGAAAAACACATTACATTCAATGAGATTTTTGTAGACAAATGCAAAATATGGGCACAAAATGTCACTCCGCCCGCCCTATCACTGCCGGGAATTTATGGTAACTTTTCTAAAAACCATTAAATGGGCTAAAATTTATGTAAACCACAAACGAATGGGTGTGAGGGGTACGGGTGTATGGGTTTACCCGCGATATACAGGTAGAGGAATGGGGGGTTTAGTGCGAGCGCCACCCTGCTGATAAAGGTTGTCTAAAATTAATATTAAAGTATTTTCAGACCATTTATAATACACTTTTGTTTAACACAAAAGCATATTAAGCATATTACATAAGTTTAATACTCTTTTTTATAGTAATGAGAGAAAAAAATGAACAAAAATAGACAACACAACAGAGACCGCACATAAAATTATAGACTATTATTCCCAAACACCCCCAAGAATTTCATATAAAATAACAGCAAAATAAATAACTCATAGATAGCCGCCCCTAAAAAACTGCCTGCGCTCTGAATTTTATACAGTATTATGGGTAATAATTTTGTGCATTAATTGTAGAATATATTAATCAAACTTATAATCAAAAATTCAGTGTAAGTGAGTGTTTGTGAGCTTTGGTTTCATTGAATTAGTTCAACACAAATGTGTATTACTTTTAGTATTGCGAATAATAGACATAAAACTCTCTTTCATTATCACTACAAGTAGTCAAACATTGAATGAGAGGGTCAAGTGTTTGGAGCCCTTACAGCATATTAACCATTGATTATCACATCAAATGGAAACACCGTTCGAGTGTTTGGCAATAAAAAAATTATCACAAAATAATATAACAAAATAAAAATATTAGAAAACAAATCAAATCGAGTGCACAAACATTGGCGCTGCAAAAGACACCAAATGTTAGGGCAAAACAAAATCAGATTATATGAGTCGCGGGACGGGAGGATATGGCACTAAATTTAGAAAGAGTTCATAGAGTGGGGAGAGAGAGAGAGAGAGAGCTCCTAAGACTAAGACAAGAAGTGATAAAAAATAAGTCACTAATGATAAGAGCGAAGCTAAGAGGAGGGGAAAAGGAGGATAAAAGTGTGGGCAAGGATTATGGCTTGAACAGCAATGGTAAGGCATTCGTATAGAGAGATAAGGCTTTTGTGTGAGTAATCATTGTGAGAGTGAGATATGGGGAGTGAGAGGGAACGGTATTCATTCATAGCATAGCATGTTATGTAATATGAAAAAGCGAGTGAATGAATGGATTGAGATCTGAATTACTCTTTTATTTCTATTTGATTAGTGTTGATGAGAGTTGACACGGATTTTTGGGGACACATTATCCCAATGCAACACAAACAACACACAAGTCATTTGCATACATAATCCCAGAGCACCGGCACTCCATATGAGACCTACACGACTACTACACCAACCGATTTGGCACACAATCGATACGATACACGCGATAGAGAGTGAGTGAGATATTTATGACACTCGAGTGCCCACAACAACAACACATAACTTAATGATAAATTACTCGCAAAGTTATTCAACATTAGGAGACAGTTCTAGTTTACCCACTGTTGACATACCGGAGCTCTATCCGTGTGCTATACAGACCAATGATTTGGAAAAGGATTGGCACAAATTATATCTAGCTATCATAGGGCGCCCTGATATCAAGTGAATCTCATTTGCGTTACTAGTATTACATCATAAAACGGCAATTAAACAAATTAATCATTTTGTGTTTGACTCATAGCTGCAATCAATTATATGTAAGAAAAAGCTCAGTTTGTTTAACCATTTTTAGTATACAAGGCTTTTATTGGAAACTCACAAATATAGCGAAAAAGTCATTAAAACTCCACTCGATATCAATCTGCGATAATTAATGCATTTTAATCATCAAAAATATAGTTTTGGAAAAACATAACAACTTCTTAAGCTATTGGTTGACTGAAAAAATTGCCAAAAAAATGAGTGAAAAGTTTCTCAACTCCAAAAAGTCAGTGATTGGGAAGTTTGCGAGAATGAGATGATTATAATTAATGTCAAATACAAACTAGGCTTCAAATCCATATATTCTCAACATCACTGGCAACACACTTACTACCGATAGGACCGGTAGTTTATGGTGAACGCCAATTGGCGATCAGTGAACAGTGCGAGAGAGAGAGAGAGAAATACAAACTAGGCTTCAAATCCATATATTCTCAACATCACTGGCAACACACTTACTACCGATAGGACCGGTAGTTTATGGTGAACGCCAATTGGCGATCAGTGAACAGTGCCTCTCTCTCTCTCTCCGTGACCACCACCAACTGTCAGTAGATAGTAAACAGTAGATTTAATTACAAGTGTAAAAAACCCTCATTTATTATGTAGTTTATTGTTTCAGAATTTTTACCCTACTCTCCTGAGATGGAGAAAACAGTTAAAAGCAATAAATAATTATTGGATTGAAGGCAAGCGAGGCTCAGCATCTCTCTCTCTCTCTCTCTCTCTCTCTGAATCAGTAAAAATCGTTTCTTATGGCAAAGACACGAGAGATGACTCGCACCTAATGTTCTAAGATTTAAGAGATATCGGGATGGAAATGAGGAACTGGAGTCTCACAGTTGTGTCGGACAGACAGTAATTATAGAACTATCACTTCAGAGAGAGAGAGAGAGAGAGAGAGAGAGAGAGAGAGCTATCAAATTGAGAGTACCGTACAGTTGAGATGAGGCAACAATTTTTATGCACAACACATGACATTCACTGTTATCCCAAAAAATGAATCCTAATTTAAAGTAATCTTAAAATATACACTATTTTTAAGGCTTTCAGAGCACATCCAACAGTAATAAAACATTGGATTCTATATATAAATACATTCACTCAATATATTCGAGAGGAAAAAATGTCAAAAATTGAAACAATTTTTATTATAATTACAAAAACATTAAAAGAAAAAATATAAAAAATCATTTGTAAGAGTAGTCAAGAATTTGCACACAAAGTCTCCAATAAATGTGATTCTCGAGTAATACTCGAAAAGAAAAACATACAAAAAAATCTAAATTCAATTTCAAAGACAAAACTGTAATTATTTGTAACAAAATTGTCGATTAATGGTAACAAAAAATGTCACTTTCGAGCGCTTCCATGAACTCTAATGAATGGATATTTCGCTATCGATGCGAAAAAAATTGCAAAAAACAACAAAAACCAGAATCAAAAATGTGTAGAAAATGCAATCGTTTTGACGAATGGATTAAAAAATGCTAATAAAAGCATAAAAACCGTGCTAATACTTTGTATTAAAAAATTGCTTTTAAGTTTACAAACAAATGGGTCGGACATGCAGTTAATCGGGAGAGAAAGGACATGCAATTCATAGTTATAAATACGAAAAATACATTTTATTTTAATCCGAAAGCAAAGCAAAAATAAAGTGGAGTAAAAGAAAAGTTCAAAAAAGAGATATATATTTCAGAAGATGTAATAAATAGTTAAGAAAATAACAAACAAAATGGAAATTATGAACTAAACAGTGCACTGAGTTTGAGGCATAAATCTACGCGAGATATGAAAACTTAAGCTGTGATTCCGGTGCCAATTGTCACCAGAGCTGGCGATGAAATATTAAAATATAGGCACGACTTCGCCACAAAAAATTAAAATAAAAAAAAATAAACTTAAGATTCTTTCAGAGAATTCAAACACAAATTCGTGTGTTTCTACTCAATTTAGAGAGAGAGAGAGAGAGAGAGAGATCCTGTGTGAGAGAGACATTAAATTACACATAAAAACATTAGTAAAATATACGATAATTAAAATGAAAAGTTTGTGTTGAGAGTTGACACTATAATAAGCCAAATGCTGGTGCTATTCCTATAATATTAATAATACACGACCAAAATATCCNTAAAACAAACAAAAAAGAGATGTTTTCAAAAAGTTTTTTGTCTTTTTTGTTATTATGTTTTTAATGCTTTTTTCGCTAATTTGATAGCTTTGCAAAACTTAATATTTTTATTCCCATTCTCTCTCTCTCTCTCTCTCTCTCTCGGCGCGAGTGTGTGTTTGCAATGGTTTTTGAATGCGAATTATTTTTATTTACTTCACCGGAAAATATAAATTATTTCTGAATTGAAAATTTTTTGGCAAATGATTTACAAAGAAGTCTTTATTTTATTTTCAGGTTTTCTTTCTCTCTCTCACTCTCTCGTGAATAACTTTTACACTCTCTCTGAAAACTCTCATTTGCATTGAATTTTGTATTTTGTGTCATAAGAATCGCGTTTATATTTATTTAATTTTGTGGACCCTTTCTGTGATGCACTCGTAATGTGTTTAACATACAGTGTTTGTTGCGGGCGGTTTGGCTCCGGTATCTAGTTTGTAGGAAAAGGGTACCGGTGCTCTTGAGTTGGTGATCCACTTTGATTTCGTCTTAGATTTGAATTTGTAATTTTTTGTTATGAATTTTATTTATAATTTTTATACACTTTTAGCGCTAAACAAACGCAACTTTTTTGAAATATATTTCAAAAATTTATGCATTTTTTGTTAAATTCAATGAATTTTCCTTTTGGTGTCATTTTGGTTATAATTAATTCACATTTGATTTTCTGATAGTTGATTGATTGAGATCTCGGACTATAATTTAATTGATTTATCGATGAATTTTTCCCTTTTATTAATGGATGACTACTTTCTAGTTTTTTAAACACCAATTATTATATACTTTATGATTGATTAAAAATATACACTCATTCACTCGTTCTCTCTCTCTCTCTCTCTCTCTCTCAAACTTCCGGAGATAATAACTAATTAGCGTCACTTTGTGAGCACTGGTATCTCCTAATCCCAATCAACATGACTGGCACACGCGTTAGGGTTGGGGTTCACTTGAATACTGGGCTTAAAACGCATAATAACTTACATAATAAGTGCCGTACAGTGTGTTGACTACAGAATCACTATATTCTGGGACCAAACCGGCAAATAGTGGTCTGAGTTATAGTCAAAGAGATATAAAACTCATGAAATAGAGAGAGAGAGAAAGAGAGACGGTTTATGCTATTTTTAAAATAAGTCTTTTATCGCTCTTAAAATTATATATTCATTAAAAATAGTAGTAATTATTCATTAGTGGAGAGGAATTCTTGGATCCAACCATCGTTTGGATGTATTCTTTAGATTTGGTTTTTATTATTTATTATTATTTTTATTTTAATACATTTCCATCATTAAGACTAATATTTGTATTTTATTTATTTTACATATACCAGCGTTTTATTCACAGAAAATGTCTATTTTTTGAGTATTTATTTTGGATTTCATTCATTTCATTCACTCATTCATTACTCAAACTCTTATTTACAAATCATTAATTAGTTTTGTTGCTATTATTTGGTATTTTTGTTATTTTTCTGTCTCTCATTTGTGGCGTTCATTAAATTATTCACTAAATAGTTTGTTAACAATTGTTGACAAATGTATCTCTAATTCACAAATACGAAACTTACTTATAATTATATAAAACACAATTTCAGTCGCTTTCTCTTTGTTTTAAATACAAGTCTCTCTCTCTCTCTCTCGCACTGTCTAACCAAATGTTGCACTCATTCTCTTATTATATCCGATCTATAAATAGTTTTAAACAAAAAAGTTTTGCTTAAAATTTATAATTAGAGAGAATAACACAACTGATGCGATGAATAGCACCGAAAATTTCTAAGAGATTTACTCCGACTCTCTCTCTCTCTCTCT